TTACAGGCTGGAGATGTTATTCAGGGAGTGGCAGGAGGGAAGTGAGGGGAGGTGGACAAACAAAGAATAAGGCTGTCTTCCGGAGGGCAAGGCTGTGGGCCTGGGAGGAGAGAAAGTCCCCTTGAACCATAGAGCTCATCCTTTCTTACGTCTAGGACTGGGGAATGGCGTGGTGGGGGTGGCACTGGAAATTGTGGCTTCTGTGCTGAGTTTCAGAGAGCAAGTGGATTGTTGGGGTAGAGATGGAAATATACTATTCAGGGTTTTCATTTTATAAGTCTTTCTCCCAATCTCTCTCCCTATATGTATGTACACACACACACACACACACACACACACACACACACACACACACACAGAGTGAAGAGGGGCAGCATCTCCTGGGCCTCTCTCTCTTTGCCTTTGTCTCAGTCTCCCTTTCTGTCTCTCCCCTGGATGTACATACACAAACACTTGTACAGCTTCTTCTGGGTGTCTCTCTCTTTCTCTCTCAACCCAGTTTGATATGGGTTGGGGGTGGGGGGGAAACGACCCTTTGGCCTCAAGTCCAGGTTCAGCCCTGTAAGACCTTAAGTGTGGCCCTTTGACTGAATCCAAACTTCACAGAACAAATCCCCTTAATAAAACAATTTGGTCTGTAAAACTTGGACTCAGTCAAAAGGCCGTACAAAGGACATAGAAGGCCATATGTGACCTCGAGGCCCCATGCCTGGTTATGCTACCTCGGGGCTCGTGTGGGCTGAAGAGGCAGTACTTTCTCTGGTAATCCAGGTGCCTGGTTTTGGGCCAGAGTGTCCTTCTTCCAATCAGGATGAGTGAGGAAGGAGGAAATAGCTCAGGGAATAAGCCATTTCCCTACCAATAGACTTCCAGGAACTCCCCACTGCCCTCAGAATCAGCTCTAGACTCATCTATTTGGTGTTCAAGGCCCTGAAGAGTCCACTGACCCTTATTTTCTATGATTCCCCAACACTTAATTCCTCAATGTATGAGTCATTTGATTTGAAAGAATCCTAGAGATCACTTAATCCAAACCACTTAGGTCCTGAGGGGTTAAGTTCAAGGTCACCCAAGTAGTAAGTTTGGAAGGGGAAAAAAAAAAAGCCAAGACCTAAATCCAGATCTTCTAAATCCAATATGGGGGTGTGTGTGGGGGTCTCTTTGCACAACAGCACATTACCTATCCAGTGGACCCCTCCATTCCAGCCAGGCCAGTCTCATTATTTGCTGAACACACCTTGCACATGCCCAACTCTTCCACTTTGTTCAGAACATCCTCCCACCTGGGGCACTGTTTGCCTATCCTCTCTGCTTATCCACAGTCTGATCATCCTCGAGGGTCCTCCCCACCCCACCCCATTTCACTGACACCAACCCCTCTCCCTTCTCTGAATACCCCCACAATATTGGGGTCTATGCCAGTATCTTGGGCATGTTGACTAGATACTAGTTGGTACTGTTACTTAACTTAATCCCCAGTGTGTTTCCTAGACACATTCTAGACTAGATAAACTTCCGCCCACAGTATAGGTATGGACCTCCATAAAGACCTGTAGCCCCAAAATGGGCAGATATGGGGTTTTTTTGGACTCCCCAGAGGTAGAAGGTGACCTCTGGAGATTTCAAGGACATAGAGATGAGATGGGGAAGTGAACAAGGGTGTCAGGGGCTCTGTGTCAGCGCTTCACTTTCCTGTTGTCAGTGGAAAAGCTCTCAGCCTCCTCCCAGGCCCTCGCTCTTCCTCACATTAAAATTCCATCGGCCCAAAATTTACGAGCCAAACTTCAACTCAAAGCCACGTGATTGCTGATGGAGAGGGCCCCCCTCCCTTTCCCACCCCCTCCCCGCTCTCGCACCCATAACTCTCCCGGTAAAGTGGCCTCAATGGCTTCGTCTTTACTGGAAGGCATGAATTATTAAGGGAGGGGGGAAGGGAGGGGACCAAGCCTCCATTACTCCTGTATGATTTAGTGGCGCTGTCCTCAGAACATTAAAAAACAAAAAGTTGAAAAAAAAAAAAAAGGAAAACCACTTGTAGCCCCTCCCTAGATGAAAATACTTCAGAACTCAGCCCTCACTGGGCCATGGTCCATTTCAAGGGGATTTATTGCTAGAAAGGCACTTGAACACCAAATAAATTTTTTTTTAAAATCTTAAACAACTTTTTAAGAGCTAGAAAATGGGAGGATCTTAAAATGTGTAGAACTCCTTTTCTGTTTTTGCAGCCCTGAAGTGTTCTCCCTCAGAGGACTTTTGGGCCTAATAATCTCCTGGTACATGAGATCTCTTTTCTATTGGGATGCAGGAGAGAGCATTCCCCCCAAGAAGCCAGGGCCATGTGTGCAGCAGGCCCCAGGTGAGAGTCTCTTTGGCAGGGCTGTAACTTGTACACAAAAAGGAGACACATAGATCTGAAGATGGTGGTGCCCAGAGACCAGGTCAGGGGGCCCAACTGAGAATGACTGTGAATATGTGCATTCTTTTGGTTTAATGCCTCCTCTATTCCAATGCTACCATTCGGAAGATGGGATGGTTTATTAGTCATTAACATCTTAGTTTACAGGATCCTTTTCAAATGATTGCCGGGTGGGTACAGATCTAGGCAATGAGACACAGAAGTGCCATTTGGAAGAATGGCAAATAAAAGGGAGCTAGGAAAGACAGCTAATAGCAATAGCTAACATTTATATGGTACTTGCTACATGCCAGGCACTGTGCTAAGCACTTTGCAATTATTATTTCTTTTGATCCTCACAACAACCCTGGGAGGTAGATGCTTTTAATTATCCCCATTTTACAGATGAGGAAACTGAGGCAAATAGAGGTCAACTGACTTACCCAGGGTTCACACAGCTTATAAGCATCTGAGGTTGGATTTGAACTCTCATCTTCCTGATTCCAGGCCCAGTGCTCTATCCACCATACCACCTAGCTGCCTAGGTTAAGGTTGCAGATTTTTAAACTGGCCAATCCTGCTTATAGAAATCAAAGGTCCCTTTGGCCTCTGGGGGGGTCTTGGCTTCAGGTACATCACTGCTGTTACCCACACAAGTATCATGGCAGGACAGGGACTCAGGAAGGGACTCTGAGCTCCATTTACTGGTGAAAAAGGACAATTTGGGCCCACAATGTTCTCTAACTTCCCCCTTATAAGGAACTCAAAGCACTCTTTCCTGAGAGGCTCCATTTAGGAAATAAAAGTCAAGAAAGGCCAGTGGAAGGCTCAGCAGCTAAATAAAGGAGGATTCAACTCTAGTCCTTAAGAAAGGATGGGGGGCAGCTAGGTAGCATAGTGGATAGAGCACTGGCCTTGGAGTCAGGAGGACCTGAGTTCAAACCTGGCCTCAGACACATAACACTTACTAGCTGTGTGACCCTGGGCAAGTCACTTAACCCCAACTGTCTCACCAAGGGGGAAAAAAAAAGATGGGATGGGCCTAGCAGGGCTTATGGAGAGATCTAGAGACAAAAAGAAGTCTCTGGTTAGCTTCTCCTGGAGCTTCTACCCACAAAGCCTGGCCCTTTATATATAGATTCTTTTTTTTTTTTAATTTTTTGAGAGGCAATCAGAGTTAAGTGACTTGCCCAGGGTCACACAGCTAGTAAGCGTCTATGGCTAGACTTAAACTCAGCTCCTCAACTAGTCCATGGCCCTTATCTGACAAAAAGACTGAGACCTGCCCAAGGTCACGGATAGAGGAATAAGCTGGACATTAAAAAAGAGGAGGTAGAGAATGAAAACGTAAGCCTGCAGCAGTGGGGGAAGAGAGAAAAGAAGGGGGAGAGAATCCAGAGAGAGCCAAAAGGAATGGAAATCTAAGAAAGAGGGAAGGGGAGGGAGAACTAGAGTGTGTGAGAGTGAGTGAAAGCTGAACAATTCGATAGATGGTGAGGGGGGTAATCGAAGTGCAGGCCCCAGAGAGCTCCCCAGGGACCAGCCATCACACACTGGCTGATAAAGTAATCTCTTTAAAGGCACTTACTGAACATTCCCTCCTCCTCCTCAACTCTGGGCTGACCCTTCCCCGCTGCTGGGCCCAGGAAGGGAGATGAGGGTAAGTGGATCAGACCAGTGTGAAGGGTCTTTATGCAGCTGACGACCTTGGCTATTTGTCAATGACAGAGGGTCATTTTGGGGTTCCCATCCCCCTGGGAGTGGAAGAGTGGTGAGGGGACAGTGGGAATGCACTTATGAGGATTCCCAGACTCCCTCTGATCCGGGCTTACCATACTTTCCCACCATATTCAGATATCTGGGCCACCCTCAGCTGCTGGGGGCTGGGCCCAGACCAGATATGCAGGAATCTCTATCCTCGGTTGGGGCCCAGTCTGTTGAGGGGCAGGGCCAAAGTTGGAAAGCTAAGAGATTCATTTTCCAAGGAGCTTCTTATCTGACGTGCCAATTACCCTCCAGACCCCACTCTTCCCCAACCCTTCCACCCCCATTTCCTGCCTTTGATATCTTTCCTTCCTGTTCTTCTCATTGCTCCTGAGTCCCCCCTTTCCCAGATTTCAATCCTCACTTTTCCAGCTGCGCAGGCTTCTTCCTGGTCCTCCCCAACCCCAAATCTCTCCCCCATCCCCATCCCCATCCTTTTCCTTTCTCAGGTCACTCCTCTCTGGCCCCTTTCCCTTCCTGTCTGGTCAACAACAGGGTCCTGCCCCTGGATATGAAGCAGCTGAGTCTTCTCCCAAGTGCCTCATTCCAGGTTATGCCCACTGTGGCAGGCCCATTCATGGTAAGGATTGCCTGGCCAAGCTGAGCATGGGAAACCCACTGTGGGGCCTACCCCAAAGCTGACCCCTGTGGCTCGCCAAATCCCCCAGGATCCCATGGCCTGAATTCAGTGAGTTTTCCCTGAACCACTGAGCCACCACAGGAAATTTGGGCGTGATCACTTTGTTAATGGGAAAGGCCACTTTCTAAGTGACCCACCAGGCTACTGCTCTCCCCACCCCACCCCCAAGGCCTCTGTGCCCCTTTTCCAACACATATATACCTGGATTGCAGATGCTCCAGCTGTACTTGCAGATTCTCACTGTGCTCTATCTGCTCATCTAGGGACCTCTGCAGCTTCCGAGCCTGATTATGGGCTTCGTCCAGCTATGGGGTGGAGACAACAGCAATCACCCTGGGCTCAGGTTCCTTCCCGCCCCTCCATGAGATGATGATTCAGGGTTGCTGAAATTCACAGCTCCCTCCACCCAAATCCTCTGCTCTGTCTGTCTTTCCCCTTCCTCTCTGCCTTTCCAAATCTTGTCCATCTTTCAAGGTCTAACCCAAACTCCTCCAAGCAGCCATCTTTGTCCCCATCCTACCCTCTTGGCTCACAGCAATGCCTCCTTCCCATGATCTCCTATAGCCTGTAACCCCCTCCCTCCCACCCATTTGGTATTCTACATATACTGCCTGGCATCATCATCATCATTTTTAACAACTACAACCATCAGTAATTACATTAATAATGAAAATTCATATTTTTATAATACATACTATGACTGTATATAATATGTATATTATAATATAACCTGATTTTCTTACGATAGTCCTGTGAGGCAGATAGTGCAAGGATTATTTTTCTTTGGAAACTGAGGCTCACAGAGATTGTGACTTGCTCAAAGCCACTCACCAATTATAGGTCAAAACTGGAATTTAATGACATCTACTGTCTAATGCTCTAATGGGTCTAATGCTCCTTCCACTACATAAGATGTCTCTATAGTATTACTGGTTCATTTTTCATATATCTGTATCTCAACTTTCTAGATGGGAAATTCCTTGAGGGCAGGAGCTGTACCTTCCTTATCTCTGTATCCTGTAGTGCATAGCACAGAGCCCCACCACTAGGGCTGCGCTAATAGGTAGTTAAGTGGAGTCAGGAAGCCCTGAGTTCAAACCCTGCCTTCAGACACTTACTAGCTATGTGACCTAGGGTAAGTCACTCAGCTTTTTTCAGTTCCAGTTTCTTCATCTGTAAAATGGAGATGATAATAGCACCTACCATATATAATTGCTGGGAGGAGCTAATGAAATAATATATGTAAAGTGTACTCACAACTTTCTTAGCCCTTCAGAGACCCCTGTCTGGACATTTGATATTCTAGTGGAGAGAGTGCTGGACTTGGAGTCAGGTAAGACCTGAGTTCAAATCCTTTTTCGGATCCTGACTATCTGGGTGTCCCTGGGCAAATCACTTAACCTACATCAGCCTCAGCTTTCTCATCTGTAAAATGGGAATAATAATGGCACCTTCTTCCTAGGATTGTTGGAAGGCTCAAATGAGCTAATATACATGCAAAGCACTTTAGAAATTATAAAGCCCTACATAGATGCCAGCTATTATCACTATTACTATCATTATCACCAGCACCACGGCCAGGCCACACTCCCAGCCTGTATCACCTCATCTTCTGCTTGGGCCAGCTCCTTCTTCAGCTCCTCCACCCGCAGCCTCAGCTTCTTGACCTCACCCTCGTGTTGCTCCACCCGCCGGTTCGCATGGGCCAGTTCCGCCATCTTCTCCTGGTACTGCTTCTTCAGCTTGGTGTGCACATGCTTGAGGTCTGCCAGTTCCTGGGAAAAAAAGGCCGGGGCTAAGGGTGAGATGAGAAGGAGCCTGGGGAGAGATGCTGCCACCTTAGCAGCCAAGACAAGACACAGTAGGAAAAGGGCCAGAGGAGGCAGCCAGGTATTATTGTTATCAGATTATAATAGCTCTCATTTATGGACCTATTTTTATTCACAGGACCGCCCAACAAAAGGAAAGTGAGGTGGATTCAGAACCTAAATAATGGTCCTGAATCCTCTTCACTTGGATGGCAAGATGCAAATAATGGTGGATAAAAAACAGGCTTCAAGGGGGCAGGTAGGTGGCGCAGTGGATAGAGCACCAGCCCTGAAGACAGGAGGATATGAGATCAAATTCGGCCTCAGACCAAACACCTGACACTTACTAGCTGTGTGACCCTGTGTGACTTAACTCCAATTGCCTAAAAAACAAAAACAAACAAACAAAAAAAGAAAGCAGGCTTCAGAGTTAGGATGACCTGTGTCCAGTTCTGCCCCAGACACATTCTGGCTCTCTGGGCCTTTTCAGTGATTCAGGAAAATCTTCAAAGGTGCAAGGTGTATAGAAGGTGCTGACCTGCCTTGGAAGAGGAAGTTTTCACAATGGGGGTTCCCTATATCAATGAAAATACAGGTTTAAAAAAAATCCGCCTGAAAGGCTGCCTCTAGTAGAGTGCCCCCAAGATCTGTGTTTGGCTCTATGCTCTGACATTTTTATTTTAAATCAGAACAGGTATTTCATCAGTGTAAGGAGCTCATGATGGACAACTCATTCCACCAAAGCCTTCTCTGAATCTTTTTTAGTCTTAGAGAGCTGCCTGGGGGCACTGAGAGTTTAAGGGACTTACTCTGGGTCACACAGCCAGTATGTGCCAGAGGTTAAGACTTGAACCCAGGTCTTCCTGAATGAAGCCACCTCTTTACCCATTATGTCATGATGCCATTCTCACTTAACATTGTTGTCAATGACTTGGATAGAGGCAAACATAATAATAGTAAAAATGATGATGATGATGATGATAGCTAGCATTTATATAGCACCTACTATGTGCCAGAGGGGTGGTTAGGTAGATAGAACATTGGACCTGGACTCTGGAAGACCTGCGTTCAAATCCTGCCTCAGATGTGTCCTAGCTGTGTGACCCTGGGCAAGTCACTTAACCTTCTTTTCCTTAGTCTCCTCATCTGTAAAATGAGCTAGAGAAGGAAATGCCAAAATCCTCCAGTATCTTTGCCAGGAAAATCCCAAATGGGGTCATGAAGAGTCAGTCATAATTGAACAACAATGATAACAATGTGCCAGGTACTTTGTTAAGCACTTTACAAATACTATCTCGTTTGATCCTTACAACAGCCCTAGAAGGTAGGTGCTATTATTATCCCCATTGTACAGTCGAGAAAACTGAGGCAAATGGCAGTTGAGTGACTCCCTCAGGGTCACACAACCAGTACCTGTCTGAGTTTGGATTTGAACTCAGGTCTTCCTAACTCTAGACTCATTGCTCTATGCACTAAGCCATCTAGATGTCTTCATCTGGAATATTCTATATAGTTCTGAGTGTCATCACTAAGAAGCTGGAGAGCGTCCAGAAAAGGGCAATGGGGAGAGTGAAGGCCTTCACATCAGGCTAGAGATATATATAATGAAGTCTGGTTGAAGAAGCCAATGTTGAGACGTCCCATAGGCATCTCAAACTCAACATGTCTAAAACAGAACTCAATAGCTCTCTCCTCCAAAATACCTCTCCCTTCTTCCAAACTTCACCATTAATGTGGAAGAGACCACTATCCTTCCAGTCACCCACATTTGCAACCTTGGTATCATCCTCAACTTTTATTTCTCATTCACCATTCACAGTTGAGCAGTTGACAAAACCTTGTCATTTCCTTCTCTAAAGCATCTCAAAGCATCTCTCGCTACCCCTACTGCCACCACCTCATTCAGGTCCTCATCACCTTTCTCCTGGAATGCTGTGATGATCTTCCAGCCAGTATCCCTGTCTCCAGTCTCTCCCTATTCCAATACAACCTCTACTCAGCTGCCAAAGTAATTTTCATAAAGTACATGTTTGTCCGTATCATGTCTACCCCTATCTTCCAGCCCCAGCCAACACACACAAACTTAATAAACTCAAGCAGTTCCAGGATCAAATATAAAGTCCTGTGTTTGACGGCGAAAGCTCTTTACAACTTGGCCCCTTCATACCTTTCTAATCTTTTTACATTCTACTCCCTCTCCACACACTCTCCAATCCAGTCATATTGACCAAGACCATTTCCTCCCCTAAAACACTCCATCTTCCATCTCTAAGCCTTGTACTGGCTGTTCCAGATGCCTGACATGGTCTCCTGCCTGGCCTCTAACTCTGAAGATCCCTGGCTTCCCTTAACATTCAGCTTCAGGGCTCCCTCCTCCAGGGGGGAGTCTGTCCTGGTCCCTGTAGGTGCTAGGGCCATCCCCTCAACAGTTAACTCCCATCTATCCTGTATTTGTCTTCTCTGTTCTAATTTATTTATGTTGTCTCCCCCATTAGAATGTGAACTCCGTGCAAGAAGGGATTGTTTTTCTTTTTCTTTGCACAGTAAGCCTTCATAAATGCTTGTTAATAGATTGATTGAATGAGGGATAGCTAGCCCAGAGAGAAGACTGAGGTGGTGACGTGGTGACTGTCTAAGTGTTTGATGGCTGGGCTATGAAAGAACAGTCGGATTGTTCTGCTTGGCCTCAAAGGGTGGAATGAGGTACAGTGGCTGGAGGTGTAGAATAACGGATCGAAGTTTGATGTCAGAAAAAACCCAAGCAGCTTCTTAACGATTAGAGCTATTCAAAAGTGGAAGGCACTGGGTTCTTTCTCACCAGAGACCCTTGAGCAAAGGGTCTGGCGACCACTTGTTGGGTTTGTTAGAGAGGAGATTTTTGTTTAGGTATGGGTTGGACTTGATGACATCTAAGGTCAGCCCTGAGATGCTATGATTTAGTGACTTGATGCTTTTAAGACTCACAAAGTACTTTACTTACATAATCTCATTTGACCCTCACAACTAATCCATGAGGTAGGTGGGGCAAATATTATCTTGCCATTTTACAGATGAGAAAACTGAGGCTTGGAAAGAGGAATTGATTGGCATCAGTTCACACAGCTTGTCAGTCAACTTGCATTTACTAAGCATATACTATGTGCTAAGTGCTGGGGATACAAGGAAAGGCAAAAGACGGGTCCCTGCTCTAAAAGTGCTCGTGGTCTGGGGAAGGGGAGAAAACATGCAAGCGGTCGTGTACAGACAAGAGCTATATGGAGTTAGTTGGAGATAATCTCAGAGGGCACACACCACGATTGAGGAGGCCTGGGGAAGACTTCTTGCAGAACGTGAGATCTGAGTTGAGACTTAGAGGTAGCCAGGGAAGACAAGAAGGAGATGAGGGAGAGAATTCCAAACATGGAGGACAATCAGGAAAAATGCTCAGAGTCAGGAGATGGAAGCTCTTTTTCAGGAAACAACAAGACCAGTCTCACTGGACTGGAGTGGAGAGGAGGAAAGTGTAACAGTAACAGTAAGTGTAACAGTGGGAGAGGGCCAAGTTTTGAAGGGCTTTAAAGACCAAAGAATTTTATATTTAATCTTAAAGGCAACAGGGAGCTATAGGGGGCAATATGGGCAGCTAGGTGGCGCCACAGTGCATAGAGTGCAGGACCTGAAGTCAAAGAAGACTCATCTTCATGAGTTCAAATCTGGACTCAGTGACTTACCAGCTGTGTGACTCTGGGCAAGTCACTTAACCGGTTTGCCTCAGTTTCCTCATCTGTAAAATGAGTTAGAGAAGGAAATGGCAAACCACTCCAGTATCTTTTTCAAGAAAACCCCAGACATTACCCTTGAGGGAAGATCTGGCTGAGGTTAGCTCATGCTCCCTACCTGAAATGGTCTCCCCGTTACTCCTTTTCTATCCAAGTCCTATTCATCCTTGAAGGCCCAATGAAAGTCCTATCTCTTTTCTAGATTCTAGTCCTCAGTGGTCCCATCCTTAAGATTCTAAAGCTCTTGGGGCCCTACATCGATAGTGTACTAGCCCTGAAAAGTACCTTAAGGATCCAGTTTCCCCATGTTATAGAGGAAGATTTGAGGTCTAGTGAAGGGAAATGACTTTGTCCAAGATCACACAACTAGTGGACTGGGTAACCCACTCATTACCCATCAGTGTTTCTGAATTATATTCCATATGTGTCTCTTTTTCCCAACAAGATGGTGAATTCTTGGTGGGCAGAATCACCTTGATTGGATGATTGCCTTGCCATAGCAGACATTCAATAAAGTTTGCAGAACTGAATTATGTAAGCACTTAAGACATACTTGTTTAAGAAGCTATGATGAAATACCAGGAGAATAATATCATGGAAACCAAGCGAAGAGATTTTTGAGAAAGAGAGGTGCAAGGCCAAAGGGAAAGCATAGTGGAAAGGCCAAGAAGGGAGAGAAATGGGGAAGAGACTGCAGACTTTGGCCAAGAATGGGCTACTGATATTCTTGAGAGAGAAATGAAAAGGCTTTCTTCCTTTGGTTGCTAGGATAGTGATGGGCAGAGAAAGCACCCTCAGTAAAGATTTCCTGAATGCTAAATGAATGAGGACTCTGGGTCCTTAAGGAAGGGGGCACCACCAGAGGATGACAGAATCTGAGATTCAGAAGGGATCTCAGAGACCATCTAGGTCCACCGTTGAACAAGAATCCACTTTACCACTCAACAAATGATCATCCAGTCTTTGCTTGAAGACCTCTAGGGAGGGGAAACTCACTATTTACCAAGGAGGCTACTTCCACTTTTGAACACCTCTAATCAAGAGGAAGTTTTTTCTTTTCACCAAGTCTAAACCCATTTCCACCCATTGTTATTAGTTTTGTCCTCTGTGGTCAAGCAGCACATGTGAAGTCCCTCCACATATTGAAAGTTAGCTATCATGTCTCCTCAAAGACTTCTTTCCTTTAGGATGAACATCCCTTTTTCCTTCAACTGATTTATTCATTCGAAAAGCATCTAAGTGTTTACTATAGGCCCTATGCTAGGGGATGGAGAAAAAGAAGGAAAGAAAGAAAGAAAAAGAAAAAGGGAGAAAGGAACAAAGGAAGGAAGAAAAAGAGAAAGAAAATTAAAGGAAAGAAGGAAGGAAGAAAGAAAAAAGAAAGAAAGAAAAGAAAGAAAGAAAGAAAGAAAGAAAGAAAGAAAGAAAGAAAGAAAGAAAGGAAAAAAGAAAGAACAACCTCTGCCTTTAAAGAGCTTTCTTTTCCCTTGGAACCTCATGTGTCATGATCCTCCACTATCCTAGCCACCTCCTCTGGACACCCTCTGAATCCTTCCCAATATATGATAGCCAAAACTGGTCACAATCCTCCAAGGGAAAAGGGGAAAGGCAGCAAGGACAAACTTGACTCCCTCAGTTTTCTAAGAGTCTTCCTTGACTGTGGAGTCCGTGGGCAAAAAATGGAGACAATGTTTCTGCTTCTCACTTCACAGCCTAGCTCAGCCAAGGTCTGTCACTCTGTTGATTTTCTCCAATTTACTGAGTATATACATAGTTATTTTCATGTTCTCTCCCCAATCAGACTGTGAGCTCCTTGAGAGCAGGGACTGTCTTCTGCCTTTCTTTGCATCTCCAGTACAAACTTGGCACATAGTAGGTGCTTAATAAATGTTTATTGACTGACTATGCTAGGACCCATGTTAGCAGAAGAGATTGGATGTTCCCTGGTTGTGTCTCATTCTTGTGTCTTGGCCATGGGTTTCCTTAGGTAATATAGAGGACAGAACATTGGACTTGGACTCAGGAAGACTTAAATCAAATCCTGCTCAGATGATATGATGATATACCTGGAAAATCCTAGGTATTCAACTAAAAATCCATTTGAAACAATAATTTTAGCAACCTGGGGTGTCCCTTATGATCTCTTCTTGGTGATATAAAGAAATGCTGATGATTTATGTGGGCATATTTTACATCCTGCAACTTTGCTAAAATGTGACCCTGGGCAAGTTACTTAACCTTTCTCAATCACAATTTCTTCATCTGTAAAACAGGGATACTTTAAAGGGTTGTTATGAGGATCAAATGAGATCATACATGCAAAGTGCTTGGCAAACCTTAAAGAGCTATGTACATGCTAGTAATGCTAGATATTCCGTTTCCCCCTCACCCATGGCTGAAGTACCCAGCCAGGTCCAGGTTCCCCCACCTTGTTCTTCTCAAAAAGCTCGGCCTGGATGGCCTTGAGGTCCGAGTCCAGGGCGCTGGCCGTCTGGCGCCGCTTTCGGGCTAACACCTCCTCTAGGTCCTCAATCTGGGCCCGAAGCTTCTTGTTCTCCCTCTCAAGATTGAGCTTTTCTGTCTCGAGCCGCTCTCGGCGGCCCCACTCGGCAGCATTCTCTGCCTGCAGACGCTCCATCTGGGGGGGAAGCAAAGTTGGGGAAGAGTCCAAAGGGACCTACTCTGCATGGGGAAGACAGAAGAGCCCCAGCTGGGCTCCCCCAGCTCCTAATACTGCTGGGCCATTTCTGGTTATAGGAAGTAAGTCCAGCTGCAGCAGCTATAATTAGCTTGGGTTTCTTTGTATGTTTGTGCTGTACGTGTCCTATGTCTTCCTCACATGTGCATGTCCTCCCCAAATAGGCTGGGGGCTTCCTGAGTGTTGAGGCTCCCTATTATATGGAGGGCTTCCTGAGGAATAAAGCCTTATTATTAGAAGATCTCCAAGGATAGGAAACTCTGTATTTGTATAGGTATGTGTCTGTACATATATGTGTGTATGTATGTGTGTGTGTATATATATATATATGTGTGTGTGTGTGTGTGTGTGTGTGCATTAATATATAAAAATATATATGTGTGTATTAATATACACCTACGTATATAAACATACATGCACACATGTATATATACACATACAGATATACACGTGTATACATACACTAGCACATAATATATACACGTGCCTATTCGACATATATACATATACACATGTGTGTGTATATATAAGTATGTATATGTATATATGTGTGTATACATATATACATGCATTCATAAACACACACACACACACACACACATACACCCTTATATAACACTTATCTCCCTAACCAAACTGGAACCACTTTGAATGCACAGAAAGGGTTTTGGCCACCTTTATGTTTCTCCCAGCATTGAACACAGGATCTTCACACAGCAAATGCTCACAGAATGTTGGTGGATGCTGGTATGTCCCCCATCAGAATGGAGGTTCCTTAAGAATGGGAATTATACCTCCTTTTGCCTGGCCTCTCTCCACATTGTGCCTGCCCATACTAGAAACCCTATTAATGATAAATGCCTGTCTGGCTAAAGTGGAAGACCAGGGTCCTGGAAACCTCTCAGACCCACGTTTGAGCCTGGTGGCTGGGTCTCTGAATCCCTCCAGCCCTTCTTGTCCCCTCCGCCTTACCTCACTCCGAAGTTCTGCTATCTTTTTGTCCATGCTGGTCCGAGCCCCAAGCTCATCTTCCAGGTCCTCTGACATGCGGCCCAGTTCATCCTGGTGCATTTCTTTAAGGATGTTGAGCTGTGGAGACAGCACCAATGTCCCCACCCCACGTATCTGGGTCACCAGAGAATCCAGAGGGCAAGGACAGAGCCGCACGACTTGGGGCACAGGGGCAAAGGGTAGAGCCCAGACAGAATCAGAACAACAGACTGAGTGCTGGAGGGGACTCTAGAACATACAAGGTTAGAGTAGGGATGCCCTTAGAGCTGGTGTGGACCTTAGAGGTCATGCGGCCCACCCACTGAGGATCGATAAAGAAGCTATGCCACTGTGTTGGAATAAATAGTGAGAACAGGGAAAGCTCCTAGGGGGAAAAGCCCTAGTGTTCCTGGGTCATCCAGGGAGGGTTTTAGCTTGATGGACAGAGGTGACCTCTAAAATCCTATCAATGCCTAATTCTATGATGATTATTTTTAGCACAGTATATAGTCTTAGACTAGGGGTTAGATAAATGGATTCCAGCCCTGGCTCTTCTACTAAGTTTGTGAGACTTTGGGCAAGTCATTTTTCGATCACAGAATCACGTATTTAAAGCTGGAAAGGACTTCAGAAGTTCTCAAGTCTAACCCCCTCTAACCCAGTTTTCAGAGGAGGAAACTGAGGCCCAGAAGGGTTAGATGGCTTTCCTAAAGTCATACAGCTAGTAATTGTACGAGGCAGGACTTGAACCCAGGTCTTCCTGATTTCATATCCAGCATTCTGTTTACTACACCACATTCTCTATTGATTCAGCAAATGTTGCCTACTTGTATAAAGCATTGTGTTAGATAGTGGAGATAAAAAAATTAATTAAGACTTAGTCCCTGCCCTGATAGACCCTAGAACCAAAAAGGAGAACGAGACAGACACATTTAAGTAGAATTCATAATATTCCATGATAACTGCGTTAGGAAGGTGCAAAAACAAAATACTATGTGAAGTCTGAAGGTGAAGGTTGAGACTTCCCTGAAATCAGGGAAGCTTCAGGAAGCAGCTGGCATTTGAGCCTGGCATTAAAGGATGGATAAGAATTCAACAGGTGAAGTGGAGGTCATTCTTGGCACAGGGCATGGAGGGAGGAAGATGCAGTTTCTTTGGGAGCAGACAGCAGGCACTTTGGCCAAAGCATAGAGTATATGGAGAGGAAGAATATGAGATAAGGCTAGAAAGGTGGGGTGGCATTTGATTAGGGAGGGCCTTGAATCCCAGACAAATGAGTTAGCACTTTACTCAAGAAGCAAGACAGAGCCACTGAAGATTTTTCAGTAGAGGAGGGATATGGCCAGATCTATGCATTTAAAAAAAAAAAATGGCAGTTAAGTAGGATGGATGGGGGAAAGGTTGAGAGAAGGAAAGGAAGAAAGTGGAGGTAGAAAAACCTGTTTGGAGGATACTGTAATACTTCGGGTGGGTGGTAATGAAGGGCTGTACTAGACTGATAACAGTAGTGACAGAAGAAAGGAACTGGTGTGAGAGATGGGATCAGTTGGATTTTAACATCATAACTACTTGAACAGAAGTCAGCCAAAGAGAAGAGTCCACTATAACACCAAGATTTCAAACAAGGGATACAGGATGAATGGTGGTGTTACAGACAGAAATGGTGTAGTCAGAAGAAGGAGCAGATTTAGGTAAATGATAATAGCTTAGTTTTAGACATGGTGAATAAGAGGTGGGACATTTTATTGGCAATTAGTGATATGGGCTTGGAATTCAGAAGGCAAATTAGAACTAGATAGGTTTGGGATTCATAGGTTCAGGAGTGGTAATGGGAGTAACTGGAGTGAATGAGACGGCCAAAGGAGATAAAGGTAGGGATACAATAAGGCCTAGAAGAGCCTTCCTGGGGACACACTTTAAAGGTTCAGGAAAAGGATGAGGAAACAGCAAAAGAAATAGAAGGAATAGTTAGAGGAAGGAGGAAACAAGCAAGCATGTTATCTCTGAAGCAACATGAGGGGAAGTGTCCAGTAGGAGGAAATTGTCAGTAGAGATAAAAGTACCAGAGGTGAAGAAAGAAAGATAAAAGGCCAATGAATCTGGTGATTAGGTCACAGGTGACCTTGGAGAAAACAGTTTCAGTACAATGGTGAAGAAGGTAGATTGCAGAGGGTTGTGGGGAGGGTAGTAATAAGAAGATCAAAGTAGCAAGTCAAGATAGCTTTTTTTTTTTTTTGGCTAGGCAATGCGGGTTAAGTGACTTGCCCAGGGTCACACAGCTAGTAAGCATCAAGTGTCTGAGGCTGGATTTAAATTCTGGTGCTCTATCTACTGCTCCACCTAGCTGCTCCTTCAAGACAGCTTTTTCCAAGAAGTCTTA